GTTGTCACCACAGCTCGTAAAATTCCCACTAGGGGCACTGAAATTTTTACCGAATGACCACTATGTCCCGTAGGACCACTGTAACCCTCGACTCTTGGCATGCCAACTATACCCTTAGCTCTCATATTACATAACATGGGCATTATCATTTATGTCATTTCACATATTCATATAGGTACTTGTTTCACTTACACGTAGAACACTTTCATAAGATTCACATTCATATGTCACGTGGCTTATATCTTGTTCTTATGTCTTTTCATAGACATATATTCACATAATCACATAGCTTATATTCTTTCTCATGTAGTCACATCAGCCCACGTCATATAACATATATCACAAGTGCATGCAATCACTTAGTACATGTAATTACGTAGATCGTATCATATAGCTTATATCATTTCTCATATGTTCATGTAAACACGTATGTCATATCTTGTTCACATGGGTTTATATATACATCACATACCACATAGAATAACATATAAACTTATATATGTATTAATGTACATACTTTTATATAGTTTGTATATCAATGTCTTATAATTAATCTCACATTATTTATATTCTAGTTTCATATATTTACTTAATTCAGTTTCACATAGCTTGTTATATATATTCTCATAACTTATCATCACATAGCTTCTATAACATTTTTCTATAGCTTCATAAATCTTTACCATATAACTCATATATTATATATTCATTTAAGCCCATAATTCTTCCCCATATAGCTTATCTTACATGTTCGTATAATCACTTATGTCAGTGTTTCCTAATTTATACATTATTCTCATATTGTCCTATAGGTCAATACTATTTAGCTTATCTCACTTTTCATTTAATCTCGTAAGTTGATTATACCAATTCCTATATATCTAAATCATGTAATTTATATCTTGTTATCATATCTTCATTTAAACTTATCTCCACTTGTTCATAATCACATTAATTATATACTATTTCCATATATTCACTTATATTGGGTTCACGTATCTTATATTACATATTCCTATAATCAGTTATGTTAATACCACATAGTTTGTATTATAATTTCATATATTCATATAGTTTAGTATCACATATCGCATATACATGTAATCATGTAGATCATGTCACAAATAATAACATATGACACATATATCCATTTTCATGTACTCATGCACACATAAGAATCACAAATCAATTAATATTTCAGGAGTCACTTATTACCATAGTAACTCTGTCACTGGCTCATCGCAAACCAATGTTTATTCGATAACATAAGTATAAATTAAATTGCACTCACCTTAGCCTTGCTTTCTGTGATTTGATCCTAATTCTTCGATTGTTCTGGAACAGGGTTGCATTCACTATCTACATAATTATACATTTATACATATCAGTAATCCAATTGTATACTCTAATCATTCAACTCTTAAACTAAAGGAAAATCAATTTCATTTCTTGTTTAAAGTAGGTATCGATACCCTCTATAGGGTATCGGTACACCCCTAACTGAGGTATTAATACCCTGTCTAGGGTATAGATACCTTAATGACATTCTGGAATTGTTATCTTTAGGGGGTATCGATACCCCCTATAGGGTATCAATACCCTACTGACATTCTAAAATTTTTCGTTAAAAAGAAGGTATCGATACACCTTCATAGGGTACTGATACCCTCTACCCAGAAATTACATTTTGAGCACGAAAATCACCTCATTTCTGCTCAAACACTTCCTATTTCATCCCCTTACATATACTTAACTCATTTACTCATACTTGAACTCATTAATACTCATTCAATACATCTTTAACTTCAAAATACACTTCTCTACCTAGAATCCAAGAATCATACCTAATTTTCAAAAATGCTCTAAATTCAATTCTAACACTTCATAATCCTTAATTAGGTTGATGACAAGTCAAATTTAACTTCAAATTCAACTTATCAACTCTTTTCCATAAATTCATTTAAAAACTCATTTTCTTTAATCTATTATAACTTATTTATCTTTTGATTATAAGACAACTTAAGCTTTCCTTAAGCTTAGTTATCATCTAAGGATCATAACCCAACCTTTAATTCAACAAATAACCAACAAATTAAGAGACTCATATTTGCTTCAAGCCCACACATTTGGAGAAGGAAGAGGAGAAGATAACTTTGGAGAATTCTCTCCTTTTCCACGTGTTATCTCTCTAAATAGGGAGATGAAAATATATTTTAAGCTAATTTACTACACTACCCTTTTAATTCTTTCATATTTACCAATTAATCCAATACTGAAATATTCCTATTTAAATCACCACATTCTGAAACTTTACAATTTAGTCACTAACCCGTATTTTGGGATGTTACAAATCTCCCCTCCTTTAAGAAAATTCGTCCTCGAATTTTTAATGCACACATTGATAAGAACATATCTTCTGATGTTCTCATGTTGCTTTCTTTACTTTATCACTTCACAATTGCAATTAATGTTTTGCCTTTAATTTCCAAAGAACACAATCCATTTCTATCTTTTCTCTTTTTCTATTGTACACTTACTTTTGACCATTGAAAATCCATATCATGTCACTTATCATATAAACAATATCATTCATTCTTATGACCCAATATCATAAATCAATTAATTTCCTTCGTCAATCGTTAATTAACTTACAATAATAACTCAACCTCTTTACCAAAAATCAAACAATCTCTTCATACTACTTTACATACTTTTCTTATTTCTACATCAAACTTATAATCTACTTCTCCAAATAATCATTGTTACTCTAGATTCTTTAAACTCCATCATTTAATTTCCTTAGCTCTTTATTCCTTCACAAATCAAAATATCATTGTAATATAAATCATATCTTTTTCTTCATATTCCATTACTCTTCTCATATCGATATGCGAAACATCATCATAACACTTATACTCGTATCTGATTACAACTTTTTTTATCATGTCTCTATAACTTTGATAGTCAACACCACTTGCACAGAACTTTATTCTTTATCATTCTTATACTTGTACCTCCTCCAATTGATTTAATAATTTCCATATTCCAATACTCACCTCATCCATTTAAAATACTTTTTCTACTTCAATTTACATAATTTCTAACAAAGCTTTTAATCTGATTCACAAAGGTTATCTTGAAACCTGTCTTATTATCAATTAAATGTTCTTAGTTCCTTATTTAATATTCTAGTACGAGACCCTACTACTTGAGTCTATCTGGATCTCATCAGATTTGATCCTCTGACAGAGGATACCTAATTCAGACCTAGTCTGAAGTTGAAAACCAGAATCTTTACTTCTCTTTGATAGTGCTAAACTCTATAAAGCACTAATTCTCTTAATCATTCGAGATTTTTGTTCTTCAAACCTTTCATTCTGAGATCTCTAGAGCTTTAGCGCAATTAACCATTTCTTGAAACGAGAATAAATTCAAAACCAGTAACATTCTTCTAATTTAAGGTGTAGGCCTTAAACAAACAAATCACATGTATCATTTTTTTTAATCGGAATCAACTCAACAACAAATCTGCTTAACTTATTAAACTTACATTCATACACATACACATGAAATTTCCTTACTTCCAGCTCATATTTCTAGCTTCTTTTGTCTTATAAACTGATTACTGATGTATCCATTCTTAAACACTTCTTATCAATCCTTACCTTTACTCAAACATACGAATCCTCACTTCCTTCACTTTATCACATTACTATGATCAAAATATACAAATGTATTCATATCCACTTCATATTTGGTTATCATAACCTAACAATATCTTAAAATCCTATACTTGAAATATATTTTTCATCACATAATCTTGTTACTCAATGCTAACTCTTTCCATCTAAAATACAAACCCTTTTTATATTCACACTCTTGCTTATACACAATAATATCCCTTTGTTTCAAACCCATAAGCTTTGGCTTTATATACCTTATACGCTTGTCATTGATGCATTTATTCTTAAACTCTTCTACAAATTCTAATCACATCATTTGATCCTTTAACTTTCTAATGGTGACATTTGTCCACCATACTCTAGCTTACCCACGTAGTAACGAAACTACTCAATTTAACTTCTCCACTTTGGAGAAATGAAAACCTTCTAAAATTATCTTCCTATCATTTTATCAAATGTCTATAACAATAGAACATTTCTCAAATTCACCCTTGAACTCAGGTGTTCTCAACTCTTTTAACTATTTTGATACATTCATTCTATGAGTGGAAGAAGTATAAAATTAAAAACACATCAGAATATCATTCAACATCATGAAAACATTCTCTAATCTTATACAGGAATTCCCTGAGGTGTTCGCTCTTCTCCCTGCCAGGCCAGGGCAGGTGAATGCTATTACCTTCAGGTCTATTACCTTCTGCTTCACTTTGGAAGCTCTCATGATCAGACATCTAATATAACATAACAATTTAACTCTATTAACAAGACAATACACTCCTTACACTATCAGATCAGAAAATTTTTCACTTTGTGTTGGCATGTATACTTTTAAAAACACTTTTGACTTCGTTTTTAGCCTAGAATCGGCTAAACCGTAGCTCTGATACCATTAAATGTAACACCCCAACTCGTACCCGACCCATATATGAGTCTGAGGTGTCACCTTGACCTTTCAAAAAATTTACTTGTACAAAATAGTGAATAATTTTAAACTTTTACTAAATACTACTAAATAATTTAAATAAAATACCATCATATGATTTTTACAAAACCAATTACAAAAAATCAGATCCAAATCTTTATTTATATGCCAACTACTATCAGTACTACAAAATACATATTATTCAATATTTTTTTGATCTGATCTTTGGAAATGAGGAACTGATATGTCTTGTTTAACTTTTATCATTCTTAATCTTCTTGGTACCTACATGTGAAACAATCACACGCTAATTCGTTGAATTAGTGAGGCATATAAAACATATAATAGAAACCATAGAACATTTCATATAACCAAATACATACATGTACATATACCCTCATTATCAACACAAACATCTTTATCATGATCTCTGTCATTCTCAACATCAATATCATTATCATGATCTCTATCATTATCATGTATTAACATTCTTGTATATCATATAACACATATCATTTCACAAAGAAACACACATAACATCATATAATTCTTATAACACATTTCATATCCCCAAAAGCATATGCATCATATATATTGTAATTATGTTATCTCTTTAATTAGCCCATGGAATACTTGTGATAACTAAAGATATGTGAGTGTATTGAGGTTGTGCACAAATGTTGTCACCACAACTCGTAAAATTCCCCCTAGGGGCATTGAAATTTGTCCCGAAGGACCACTATGTCTCGTAGGACCACTGTATTGTCCCAAATGACCACTGTATTGTCCCGAATGACCACTACGTCCCGTAGGACCACTGTAACCCTCGACTCTTGGAATGCCAACTATACCTCTAGCTCTCATATTACATAATATGGGCATTATCATTTATGTCATTTCACATATTCATATAGGCACTTGTTTCACTTACACATAGAACACTTTCATAAGATTCACATTCACATGTCACGTGGCTTATATCTTGTTCTTATGTTTTTTCATAGACATATATTCACATAGTCACATAGCTTATATTCTTTCTCACGTAGTCACATCGGTCCACGTCATATAACATATATCACAAGATCATGCAATTACTTATTACATGTAATTACGTAGATCATATCATATAGCTTATATCATTTCTCATAAGTTCATGTAAACACGTATGTCATATCTTGTTCACATGGGTTTATATATACATCACATACCACATAGAATAACATATAAACTTATATATATATATATATATTCATGTACATACTTTTATATAGTTTGTATATCAATGTCTTATAATTAATCTCATATTATTTATATTCTAGTTTCATATATTTACTTAATTCAGTTTCACATAGCTTGTTATATATATTCTCATAACTTATCATCACATAGCTTCTATAACATTTTCCTATAGCTTCTATAACATTTTCCTATAGCTTCATAAATCTTTACCATATAACTCATATATTATATATTCATTTAAGCCCATAATTCTTCCCAATATAACTTATCTTACATGTTCGTATAATCAATTCTGTCAGTGTTTCCCAATTTATACACTATTCTCATATTGTCCTATAGGTCAATACTATTTAGCTTATCTCACTTTTCATTTAATCTCATAAGTTGATTATACCAATTCCTATATATCTAACTCATATAATTTATATCTTGTTATCATATCTTCGTTTAAACTTATCTCCACTTGTTCATAATCACATTAATTATATATTATTTCCATATATTCACTTATATTGGGTTCACATATCTAATACTACATATTCCTATAATCACTTATGTCAATACCACATAGTTTGTATTATAATTTCATATATTCATATAGTTCAGTATCACATATCGCATATACATTTAATCATGTAGATCATGTCACAGATAATAACATATGACACATATATCCATTTTCATGTACTCATGCACACATAAGAATCACAAATCAATTAATATTTCAGGAGTCACTTATTACCATAGTAACTCTGTCACTGGCTCATCGCAAACCAATGTTTATTCGATAACATAAGTATAAGTTAAATTGCACTCACCTTAGCCTTGCTTTCTGTGATTCGATCCTAATTCTTCGTTTGTTCAGGAACAGGGTACATTCACTATCTACATAATTATACATTTATAGTTATCAGTAATCCAATTGCATACTCTAATCTTTCAAATCTTAAACTAAAGGAAAACCAATTTCATTTCTTGTTTAAAATAGGTATTGGTACCCTCTATAGGGTATCGGTACACCCCTAACTGAGGTATGGATACCCTATCTAGGGTATATATACCCTAATGACATTCTGGAATTTTCATCTTCAGGGGGGTATCGATACCCCCTATAGGGTATCAATACCCTACTGACATTCTAAATTTTTTTCGTTAAAAAGAGGGTATCGATACACCTTCATAGGGTACCGATACTCTCTGCCCAGAAATTATATTTTGAGCAAGAAAATCACCTCATTTCTGCTCAAACACTTCCTATTTCATCCCCTTACATATACTTATCTCATTTACTCATACTTGAACTCATTAATACTCATTCAATGCATCTTTAACTTCGAAATACACTTCTCTACCTAGAATCCAAGAATCATACCTAATTTTCAACATGCTCTAAATTCAATTCTAACACTTCATACTCTTTAATTAGGTTAATGACAAGTCAAATTTAACTTCAAATTCAACTTATCAACTCTTTTCCATAAATTCATTTAAAAACCCATTTTCTTTAATCTATTATAACTTCTTCATCTTTTGATTATAAGACAACTTAATCTTTCCTTAAGCTTAGTTATCATCTAAGGATCATAACTCAACCTTTAAATCAACAAATAACCAACAAATTAAGAGACTCACCTTTGCTTCAAGCCCACACGTTTGGAGAAGGAAGAGAAGAATATAACTCTGGAGAATTCTCTTCTTTTTCATATGTTATCTCTCTAAATAGGGAGATAAAAATATCTTTTAAGCTAATTTACTACAGTACCCTTTTAATTCTTTCATATTTACCACTTAATCCAATACTGAAATATTCCTATTTAAATCACCAAATTCTAAAACTTTACAATTTAGTCACTAACCCGTATTTTGGGATGTTACAAGCATATAAAATGTTTTGTATTGTTAAGTGATTAAGTTTACAATATATGTTTTATTATGCCTCATTAAGTCTATGACTTAGCGTGTAAGCGTATTTACACGTAGGTTCTGAAGAGCAAGATGATCAAATTTAGGAGTGTGCAGAGCGACGTATCTACACTCAAAGATCAAATCAGAAGTAAATTCACAGTATGTATTTTGTTGGGTCAAAAGTGTTGGCACATAGAAATGTGTAATTTACAAATGCTCTGATCAGCTTTGTAATGTTGTGAACTTAACTATGTAAATATAGCTTTTGTGGTAGTAAAAGTTTAAATTTCATACAGTTTTTACGAATGTATATGCTTTGAAAAGTCAATGTGATACCTCAAACTCGTATCCGGGTCGGGTACGGGTTGGGGTGTTACAGAAAATCTCTTGTACTTGTATATAGTACCATCTCCCAAAACCTGCTAAGAGAATAACATCCTAAAGGCATCCATATAAGCCTCACCAATATATTGGTCCCTACACTCACTTAGAGACTGATCCCACGTAGGCATCTCGGGCTGTAGAGCCATTTCTATAATCTCTCATTGGTCAATAACGTCACCATTGAGCAAAGTAGTGACACACTCTTGCTTACCCTTTAGGGTAAGGTAAAGCTACCTTAAAGTCATCTAGATTTCTATCCACTAATAATCTACAAAAATCATGTCATTAACACTTGAACAGTAAAAGTGGATTGTCTTATACCTCTTCACTGTCTCTACTGGATACTCTATTGGCACAAATGCATTTTGGGTGACTAATTGAACAATTTGTACTCTAGGAATACTATCTCCCTGAGAGTGTGAGTTAAACCTCTAAAGAATGTCGTATTTATGACTCTCATGCCTAACGGGACCTCATGATCCACTGTCCTAGGCAGGAACTCATCTCTGATGTTATTGAGATGAGAGGTACGACTCTCAATTTTACCCTTAAAACTACACTTAGAACCTAAAACCATTACCGCATTAGAAAACATAGTTACAAAGAGGAAGAACAATCAAGATTATTATCTTATAAGAGTACTTTTAGAACCTAGGGGTGTATTCAATGACGCCTTACTATAACTAACCACAGGGTTCTATGACCGACTTAACCTGACGCTTTGATACACATGCCCACTAAAGTAACCATACAGTACTATATGAGGGGTACTGGAAACCTTGATACGATGGTGCTCCTCAAATGACTCGATGTACTAACCTACGAATAAAAACATCTGAATGTTGAGCTTAAAAGCCCAGTAGTATTATCGCTAATCTAGAGCAGTATATGAATCTCATAAACATAAGCATACTAGAAGATATTGTAATAAATATTAGGTATATGCATAATCATAATCAAGTGTTATCTACTTAGGGTTCAACAATTCAATCACTATAGTACGAGCCTCATGCTTCTCCTAGTCTTCTACTAAAGGGTCTCGCCATGAGTATACATATATCGAATTTCTAATTACAATATCACATGATAACAAAATGCATCAAGCATATAATTACAACAAATACATAGTAGTATATTTTGAGTTCATAATATTGTAACAATATCGACTAGTATCTGAAGTGCCTTAGCATTGATATACTAAAGTGTCTTAGAACTAATACATTAAAGTGCCTTAGCACTGATGGAGATATATCTGGATATTGCATATACATATATTTTATAAAATCGTCATAATATAAGTAGCTCAGGTGTCCTCATCGTTTTCCCGATTGTCAAACAAAGGCATAAGTCTTATGGAATCTTAGACTATAAGATTCTTATGATTATCACAAAAATAACATTGTTATCTCATGTTTATTATTAAAATCTTCTATAAGGCTAAAAGTTTCAACCCCCACATCAACTAATGCCCCTTGAGGGTAATCAAAGTAGTTAGGCTACTAACTATCACAATTTATCACATTCCGATGAGGTCATCCCTTCACTCGTCACTCTCTTACTCGTTCTCTCACCTAGAATGTTATGAAAGAGCTTATTAGTACTTTAGTTTTTCATGCCCTAAATGAAAATAAGATACATCGCTACGCACTTGATATATTATTGTTAGCCCCATACTCAATTCGGGGTTGATAACTTTTAGTCACTCTTATCGCACTTTCTATCGCTTCACCCTTAAACTTATAGGGCTCATCTTTGATTATAGGTGTTCTTGAGGTAATTTTTTTCCTTTATGTCACTATTCACATCATTCATCGCCTCACTCATTAATACATCCTTTGCAACGATCCTTCATTCGTAATTACTCGATACGTGCTCAAAGAGGGTACACGAAAGTATTACGCCTAGTATGGTTACTTCGGTCGTAATCCACTCCTAAGAGTGTTTCTAGGTATCTTTTACCATTATGTCCCTAACAGACTAAGTTTCACTATTTATGGTCAAGCTTAACTCATATGAGCCTTAACGAGGTCAAATTTAACCAACCAAAAAGGTAGTATTGATACTTTACATATAATATTAATACTCCATTGTCAAGTATCGATACTTCTTTGAGCATCGGTACAAAAAATAACTTCTATTTGAGAAAAATCCTCCCAGTATTGATATTGACAACCTCAGTATAGATACCAAGCCTCCAGTATCAATACTGCTCCTTAGAGTATCGATATCCCCTTATGAAATTCCCAAAAATTGTCCCAATTCACTTGGTATCAATATTATTCATCCAATATTGATACCCAAACCCAAAAAACCCTGAAATAGACTTGGAAATCACTCAAAAATCCTCTCACACGCACTAGTTTGGTCTCGAAACATATTATAAAGTTTAGAAGATTTATTTAGGGTCATTTAGCACTATAAAAACATTGTTTTTACACCAAAAACGTCATCTGAGTACGAAGTAAATAAAACCCCCAAATATGTTCAAATACCCAAATCCCTAACAAGACACCACATTTAGGAATTCCCAACACAATAAAGGATTAAAAATACACTACATTGATGTTGAATCCCGAAATGAAGCTCTTTTAGCTAGCCAGCACTCCCTCCAAGACTTGGGTGCCAAACCCTTAATTTCTCTAGCCAAGATGGGGAACAATGATTTTCTTAGCACAAATAGGGTTGAAGAAGGGATTAAGAATGAATTGAAACTTAAAGGAGGCATAAAAGTGCCCAAGGAACCTATCCTTAGCTATGGCACTTTGAGAGAAAGAATGAGAAGAAAATGAGGAAAAATGAAATGAATAGAAGGAGATTAAGGAGATAGGGCTTTTCATCTTTTCAAAATGGGTGATATCGCACACTTGGTTTCTCCTTATCTTTCTACTATGCAAAAATTATCTTTTTGGTTATTTGTGCCCAATTCTTTTCCAATTAAGTCCTTACTTGGCCCAACGACTCTATTTATGAACTTCACGTGGTCCACATGCCTCTCGGGTAAACCCAAAACTAATAACCCGCAATTTGAGGTGTTACATACATTTTATATCAGTTTGATTTTGATTTTAAAATAGTCAACGCATAATTTATAGTTGAGAACTTGATACAATAATCCTTTTTTCACGTCAATCATATTGTTAATGATTTAACAATCCAATGATAAAAAAAAATCTAGTAAACTTAGTGATAAAATTGAAATATTTTATAGTTTAATGTTCAAAACGGGATAAATCATAAGTCCAACAACTAATGGTATAATTCGACTTTACTTTTTTGGATAAACATCAGAAATAATCACTCAACTATCATCACTTGCTCTTGTAGTCCTCTGCCAATCAAAAGTTATAAAATTGTCACTCAACGAATTATGGATTTCTTTTTATCCATTTTCATTAAGTCATTAACGTAAGGCATAATCCTTATTTTTTGAAATTGAGTATTATACATGCTTGTTTAATGAGCAAATTAACTACCTTATGAAATATTCAGAATCAAATTTCCCGTGTTAACAAAGTAATTAACTTTGCATAATAGCTTACATAGAAAATATTTCATATTCTATACCTATAGACTTGTGACATCCATCTATTGAGTCGTCAAGGCTATCTCAAGAAAACCCGAATAAAAGACTCAAGTCCATATGAACCATAAAAAAAGTCTTTAAATGAGGACTTGGGTCTGTTTTGATGATAGTAAGCCCACACAAGGCCAAGCCTACCTATCATCAAAACAAGCCCAAATGTTTGAATGACCTCATTGTCATAGAAGCCCTTTCATTACTCCTCAGTATAGTTGCAGGCTCCATACATTAAGATTTGCAGCACAACACCTATTCAAGAGATGGGGAAATTGGCTTACAAGGAAAATCTGGACGATGATGTGATAATATCTTAAATTGGTAAAATAATATATTTAATACTTAAATTTTATATGTTGTATCGATTTGATCCTAATTTAATATTTTATCTTTAAAATTTACATGTTTATCAATATAGTCTTAATAAAATTTACATGATGTATTGATTAGATCCTAATTTAATATATTTTTTATTAAAATTTGCATGTTGTGATGATTTAAGGGGATTTTATGAGAAAAGAGATTGCAATGCTACGATTTGAAAACATGTTATCAAGAAAAGAAGCATTTTGATTCATTCTCAATAAAGCAACATTCACAGTACCTTACTTTCCCCTTTAAACTCATTCTTTTTTGTATCACTAAGTTTAGCATCATATCCCCCAAGATAATATGTTTGACTTACCCCTACTAAATATAATGTATTTCAAACACTTCTTCTGTTTCCAATTTGCATCGGAAGAGATCAAAGCTCTAAAAAAATCTTCAAAACCTTCGCTTCGAGAGTGAATTCGACGAAGAAAAAAAAAAGTGAAAAGAAATGTGAGAATTCATGAGTATAGACTGGGGATCGGTGTTCGTTGCGGTAGGCTTGTTCATCATCTTATCGCCGGGGTTGCTGTTCCAGTTGCCGTCGAGGACTCGAGTGATAGAGTTAGGAAACATGTGCACAAGTGGGATAGCCATCCTAATGCATGTCATAATATACTTCTGCATAATCACTTGATCATCGCAATTGGTGTCCATGTACATATTGAGTGATCATTGCAATTGGTGTTCATCCTCTTTTCATTTACCTCTCCTTGTTTTCCTTATAATTCTACCTTGTGTCCAATAACTATTCCCGACATATTTTTTTTCGTCTCTAACAAAAGTTTTTTTTATGGAAAATCTCGTCCAACGTAATAATTTGTTAGCAAAAATTAGTATTAGATACTAGAGTATTTTGAACAGACTTTCTCGTCACTAAAAGGGTTTTCCATTTTTGTTTCTTTTAAATCTTATGTCTTTAGTGTTTTATTCATTTTTTGTTGATATTAAGCCATTATTTGGGCTATATTTGTTACTTTTGTCTTGTAATTTTGACCACATAATCATAATTTATAAATAATTTTATTATTTAATTACTTATTAGTTTATACAGATACAAAGCCACACCATTTAAGAAACAACATTAAACTAAGATAACACAAGACTAACTTGGAACTAGAAGCATTTTATTACTAGGATTTTTATAAGAGTCTCGATTCTCGAACGATGAACATGCAGTAGCAAATGAAAGCTCCATCGAACTGCAGTCCGAAACTTACACGACACCAATCCCCGATGACCGATTAATCCAAACAAAATTACCTTTAGGAAACACATGACAAAGAGCGTTTCCAAGCTTAAAACCAAACACACGAAAAATGACATGGTCAGGGCTCCAGCCTAAAGTATATGGAAAACAACAAGAGCGTTCACTTTATCTCCAGTAACATCACCAACCAATTGGAGTTCGAAAGTCTTGGTCTCGGTGGAATCAAAGTGGCAGAAATAAACTGCATACAGATATGGCTTTGGATGGTATGCCACTTTCTTTGGAGATTCAATCTCTCTTGGAGATTCCAAAACTGTATAATTCTGGAAGACTGTGGTTGTTATTGTGGGGTGCCTTGTGCTTATGAACTTGAAATCAACTTCGGGTTCAAACACATTGCTTAGAAAAACATGTAAAGATTCTAAAAAAAGTAGCACAAAATATGGTCTCATCTTCACCTGCTTCAAGCTCACAATTTTCGAGTGTTTCTTGGATTGTTTTTCCTTTGGGTGAGTCTAGAGAAAAAGAGAAGAAGTGCAGAATGTTGGAGAGTTGAAAATATAAAAAAATGAATGACGTCGTCGAGTTCTTTAGGTAAGAAATGAGGGTAAAGAGAGGGGTCGTTGATAGGGAAAAATATAGGCAATCTTTTCGCTACACTGAAGCCACATAGTTCATCGAGAGTGAACAACCCAATTTCTGCTCTTTCATCGGTATTATGGACGTCATGTTCCATGTTGTGATCCTTCATTTTACCGACCATAGTTTTGTAAAAGCTCAACCAAGTATATTTGTCTTTCAAATCCTTCATTTGGTCACCTGCGCTTTTTTTGGAGAAAAGAATAACATATTTTTCTTCTAAATCCTTACATTTGTCACTTGTACTTTAGAAAAAGGAAGGAAGAACATGTTTACCTTCTAAATCCTTCAAATTATCATAAGGAACAAAGGATATGTACCTTCTAAATCATTCATTTCGTTGCCTGCAGTTTTGTAATAGTTCAATCAAATATATTTGTCTTTCAAATCATTCATCTGTCACCTGCGCTTCTTTTGGAGAAAAGAATAGCATATTTTTCTTCTAAATCCTTGAATTTGTCACCTATACTTTAGAGAAAAGAAGGAAGAACTTGTTTACCTTCTAAATCCTTCAAATTATCACAAGGAACAAAGGATATTTACCTTCTAAATCATTCATTTTGTCGCCTGCAGTTTTGTAAAAGCTCAACCAAATATATTTGTCTTTCAAATCATTCATTTGGTCACCTGAGTTTCTTTTGGAGAAAAGAAGAACACATTTTTCTTCCAAATCCTTGAATTTTCCACCTGTACTTTAGAGAAAGGAATAAAGAACATGTTTACCTTCTAAATCCTTTAAATTAGCACAAAGAACAAAAGATATGTACCTTATAAATCATTCATTTTGTCACCAGTAGTTTTATAGAAATTCGACCAAATATACATGTCTTTCAAATCCTTCATATGGTCACCGTGCTTCTTTTAGAGAAAAGAATAACATATTTTTATTCTAAATCATTGAATTTGTCACCTGTACTTTAGAGAAAGGAATGAAGAACATGTTTATCTTCTAAATCCTTCAAATTATCACAAAGAACAAAGGATATTTACCTTCTAAATAATTCATTTTGTCGCCAGCAATTTTGTAGAAATTCGACCAAATACATTTGTCTTTTAAATCCTTCATCTGGCCGCCTACGCTTCTTTTGGAGAAAAGAAGAGCATATTTTTCTTCCAAATCCTTGAATTTGTCATCTGTACTTTAGATAAAGAAAAGAAGAACATGTTTACCTTCTAAATCCTTTAAATTATCACAAGGAACAAAGGATATGTACCTTCTAAATCATTCATTTTGTCGCTAGTAGTTTTGTAAAAATTTGACCAAATATATTTGTCTTTCAAATCCTTCATCTGGTCACTTGCGCTTCTTTTAGAAAAAAGAAGAACATATTTTTCTTCCAAATCCTTGATTTTGTCACCTGCACTTTAGTAAAAGGAAGGAAGAACATATTTACCTTCTAAATCCTTCAAATTATCACAAAGAACAGAAGATATGTACCTTCTAAATCATCCATTTCGTCTCTAGCAGTTTTGTAGAAGTACAACCAAATATATTCGTTTTCCAAATCCTTCATTTGGTCATTTGTACTTTTAGAGAAAAGAATAGCATATTTTTCTTCCAAATTCTTGATTTTGTCACCTGCACCTTAAAGAAAGAAAGGAAGAGTATATTTCCCTTTTAAATCCTTCATATTATCAGAAGGAAGAAATTTACCTTCTAAATCCTTCATTTTATCGCCAGCAGCATTGCCATCCAAATCCCTTGTTGCATTGCCTCCGTAACACTATAAAAGAAAAGAAATTCAAGAGCCAATGAATTTAGTAAAAGTAATAAAACCTTTATTGCTTATCAGTTTTGGTCTACATTTACCACCATAATATGCTACATAATTCAGAAAACCAATCATTACCATTAAAAACACAAGACATGATAGAACAAACTTGGTGAACTGAAGAACCATTTCCTCTATTTTCTTAGCTTTCTCTTTAGGTTTTCGGCTAAAATTTTCATATGTTAGAAAGCTATTTATAATCAAAGAGGAGGCTTTAAACTCTAATTTGTGGTCTCATTATTTTTAATTAAATTATAGTAGATATATTTTTTAATATTCTCGAGTGATTATAAGATAGTATATATTAATAACTTTCTTAATCTATTGAGAAGTACATACATCTTGCAGACGTAATTGTTCGAACTCAAAATCTCTAAAAAGAATAATAATCATTTTTACCATTGACACCACTTAATTGATTCTAATATTAAATATAATTTAGTGTAAAAGGTTGGTTGGCATAAAATATACTTATCCCTATAGTTTCCAAGATATGCACTTATTTTTTAGGTTTATTTACGATGAATTTATCCTAGTCAATTATTTATTATTTATTATTTTCTATTATTTTTATTGAACAATTTTTTTCTTAAAATTAATTGAATTAAATTTAATTATAAAATTATTTTAATTATTATTAAAATATAAGATACATTATATTATAATACAATTGTTATTATTTAAATATATTCTTTTAAATATAATATATAAATGTATTTATTTATATAATATTATGAATAATATTTACTTTTTAATTCTTTTAATAATATATTAAAAATACATGTTAAATATTTTATATTTAATTTTAATTCAATTTTACATGTTAAATGTGAGATGAAATTATTTCTTATCTTGCCCTTTATTTTCTTTATTTGTATGTTAAAGATTAATTCAATAATATATGAACGGTATAAATTAAATGACTTTAGTAGTTAAAATAATAATAATTATTTCTAAATATTTTGAATTTAAATACGATATTTATAAAAATATTTAAATATATTTAATCAAATCCTTTTAAAATATTTATGTGGTAGACCAAAGCAGCACGTGATTATTTTCTTCTTCAAAATAATTAATGTGCTCATCCAGACCTGCACATAATTATTTTGATGAGGAGAAGAGCCAACCCGCAATAAAATTGTCTAATGAATGGGTTCAATCAGTAGGTTCAAAACATAAATATCAAAGGTATCGTGTTGGATGAATTCAGTCTGTTCAAAAAATAAAGATAAAAATCATTTGAGATCTTTGAACTTTCCAAAATAAAATTATTGTAACCTTTCAACTTGAAAATAAAATTTAATGTAACTCATTGACTTACGGTTTTTATTATTGACTGACGGTTCTTTTAATTTTTTCTGTTATAAATTAGGTAAATTATATCATTTATTCTTCAACTATCTTATCTCTTTTATTTTGGTCATTAAACTCTAAAATTTTTTAAGTTAATCACTCAACTTTTGAATTACTCTTATTTTAGTCACTAAATTTATTTTATTAATATTTATGCATTATGTGACATTTATTATTATTTTATTAATATATGATTAAAAGAATATTAATTAAATTTTATTCAATTTAATTAAAAATTTGTATTTAAATCGAAAAGCATCCCAAAACCCTAAATCACAACCCCACCCCACCTAAGCCATGTATTTACTGTAATGCTTTTTACATTGCCTTGAATCTGAAAATCCAACATGTAACTATGATGAATTAGCTTCTTCAACCCTAGTGACGGGATATCGATGGGAATTAAGGCATATAATTTTCGTCCATTGCAGGGTTCATTTTCTTCTTCCTCTCATTAAAGCTGCCGCTCGAAACTAAGCTAGTAAGGCAACGTTGCGTGGACCTAAGAGGTTCTCCATTCGCAGTCCTTTCACTACTGCACCGGGAGCTAGCTCGAGAGACACGAGGAGTGCCATCGACAGATATCGGAGGTAGTATGTCTTGGATTGTTGGTTTGACTTTTAGCTTTCCGTTGGCAGTGTCCTGGTTGATCGAGGTATT